AAGGAGGGGCAGGGAGACCGATTAGGGGACTGTGACCACATCCCAGTGAGAGAAAATAATGACTCGAGCCCAGGCAGTGAGGGCAAAGAGGGGTGGACTTGATGCACAGTCAGCAGGTAGATCTGGCAGGACCTGGTGACTGTGTGGAGTGCCAGAGAGGCAGTGTAGTCTGAACTCCAGCCTCCGGCACAGAGTCAGGGCCAGAAAGAAAAGGGATCTCCATGGGGTCATATTTAGTTGCTGCTTCTGTGTGCTCCTGGAGTTCTTTGCTCCCCAGAATGCTCCCAGAATGTGATATATCACATTACAGTAGTTTAAATGCTTGTCTCTAGGCCAGCATCTACTCACAAGGAGGAATGGTGTTTTAACCATCATACCCATAATAGCAAATACATAGTAAACATCTGTTGAAATAATCATTTAGTTCCTTCCTTTTACCAAAGAGCAATCCAAAAATCTAAGGAACTTAACATGAGTTGTGGGAGACACTGAAAGCTAGTCACAGTGACAGGACCTGAACTTTGGTCTTCCATACTCCCAGGCAACTGTTCTCTCCACTGTTAAGATAAGGAACGGCAAAGCTAGGCCCAAAGCTGGTGATGGAAGGTAGAATTCTTGGTTCCTCCAGTATAAAGTGGCTGATAAGCACTAGTGTGTCACAAACTGCAGCACTTTTTCTTTTGGGTATTGAGGGAGAAGTCCCCTTTCTGTTATTTCAAACCACACTTGCTTTAGTAGTAATATTTGAATGAAACAGGCTGGAAGCGAGGCCCAGCTCCCCACTTGAAATACACTGGCATGCCCACACCTACAGTCTGCTTCGATCTTATGAATCAGCAAGCTCAGAAACCTATGACGGCCCTCTACAGAGGGGCACGTGGATTCCTAAATCCTCTAGTCTACCATGGCCCCACCTTCCGCAGCCTTAGACTATCCTTTCAATTTTACTTCCCACTTTGCTCACACAGTGACTCCGCCTTTCCAATCTGGCCAGCCAGTGCCACTGGGCCTGTTCTTGCTTTGTGCCTTAGCCCATGCTCTCCTGACCAGTGTCTGGGCAAGCAACCCAAGGAATGTACTCCTTCGTCCTCCCTTCTCCCTTCTCTGCTCTCCAAATTCAAGCCCTACCCCTCTATGATTTCCCATTACTTCTCCAACCTGCACTTATCTCTCTGAACTTCTCCAAAATTAATAGCATATACCACACAATTTAGCATTTAATTATGTTTTGGTTTGCAATGCTTTTTCCTTTTCATTTTAATCACCTCTTCAACATGTTTTATAAAACACAGAAAGGTCTCGGGGGAAGAATTTGCTAGAACTGAGGAGCTGGTAGAAAAGAGATACACATAGAAGAAAGCCGAAGGACTGATCTTGACTCAGAAGGAAAGGGTGGGGAGGTGGTGGTGGCGCGCGCGTGCGTGCGTGCGTGCGTGTGTGTGTGCGTGTGTGCGTGCGTGCTGGAGGACAGGTGGAGCTGATACTGTTACTCAGATCTGCTCTCTGATGGAGGAGGGTAATGGGCTTGTTAGTAGTACAGGTGATAGACCTGGGAATGGACAGAAATATTTAGGGAACACTTCTTACAAAGCACTAAGGCTCTGCCTGAGCTGGTCGAAGAGTGCTGGTGACATTTGGACAATTATGGTTAACTATGACCCCATTAGTGCCCGCAGAATTATGCTGGGCCTTCTTAAAGTTGGTAAACTTGGAAAAACTCCCAGCTGGAGAAATTGGAGTGACACTTGTAATTGATATTTTGCCCTTAGCCCTTCATGCCCACGAAGTAAAAAGCGCTGCGCTTCACGCCTCCACCAGGGGGCAGGAGAGGTCACATTACACATACAGAGAATTAAAAAAAAAAATCCCAAACTTTTTCCCCAAAACTTCCTCCGCATGAAACCGAATCCTCCAGCTGTGGCGTCCCAGGCTCCCGCCCCGACCCGCCTCGCCTCCCGCCCCAAGGCGGCGCCCCTGCCCTCACCCTGTGCTGTCCGCGAGTCTTGCACCCGCTGTCCCCAGCACCTCTGCCCCTACCCTTTGCCCTGAAGATGAAGGTTTGGCTGCTGCTTGGTCTTCTGCTCGTGCACGAAGCGCTAGAGGATGGTGAGTGACTCAGAGGGGGGCGACAGGGTTTGTGCCCGGACTTTAGCCGGGATCCCCACAACCCACGTCGTCCCGCAGCCTTCGTCCTCCAGCCAGCCCTTCCTCCAGCTTCTGACCTTCCGAGGCAGGCTCCATTCCCTGCCGCGTGCACGTGCCCCCTCCCAGTAGGGTCTCCTTTTGTCTCTCTCTCATCTCTCCTGAAAGTCCGTGGGACGGTGGCAGCTACCCCAACCCTTAGGATTGCCACCAAAACCGCTTCAGCACTCCCACAAAGCCCTCAGCAGGCAAACCGAGCATCCCCAGCCAGCGGCTGGTCCAGCCCCCAGTGTCAACGTGTCATTCTGGGAGGTGGCGCCGACCAGACCGGTGGATGGCTTCCCCCTCTGAGCCGCCGTGTTCGCCCCGGGATCTCTGCTTCTGAGGGCAGGTGCCACTTGAGCAAGGCAATTGCTGATTTTTTTTTCTTTTTCCTTTTCAAAATTCGAAGTGTCGTCGTCCTCCTCCTCCTCCTATCCATAGTCCTGGATTTGTTTCCTCTACCACCTCGGACTTGAATCCTACAAAATCTGCCTCTTACACTAGACATTGCTGGATGACCCCCAAACTCACAGCTGTTAGTAACTCTTCCTATCTGAGTGGATGGGAAAAGATAAAGGAAATGCATTCTTGTACAGCACATGGGAACCCTTATGTGTCTGTACTTTTTGGAATGTGCGCCTGTCCTGGGCCTACCCTGTTATGTAGACTCAGAACCACAGGGCCAGGCTTTATTTTTATGTGTGTGAATATGTTGTTTATATCCATGTTACTCTTAGCAGTTAAGTGTTTTGCTGGCTCCGTTTATTCTACCGGTGTTATTTATACAGTATATTTTGCATCTGGGTACATCCTGGCATTCTGAACCCCCTTGGAATTCCTCAGCTACAGTCACAATTTTTGCTTAGTTTTGGTTAAAAAGCAGCTTTTCCTGTTATGCAACTGCACACTGGAGTCAGCTCAACCTGGCTCACATTTTATTCACCATTCAGTCCTGACCAGTTCCTTTCTTTCCCATGAAACTAGAAGCATGTACCCCCAAATACCACATTCTATTTTGCAAAGTCCAAGATGGTTGTGAGATTTGAACATGAGGATTCTTAGCAAATAAAGTGTAGGGAGCGCTTCTACTTGGGGGAGCAACAGAAACTCCTCTCCCAGAGAGGAAATGGCATGAGTTTGAGTTAGAAAATGCAATATTAAAATGCTCCTGGCAGGTTTTTGTATGTCACTTGCTAAAGTGATGGAAATGCAGCATTTGGTATCATTTTTTGAATAGGGCAGGAGATGGCCAGGCAAAATAATTCCAAATAGCCCACTCACTTGGTTATACAATTCACGCAGGATGCCTGCCTCAGAGGCTCAGGAAACAGCATCTGCCTCCTGGATTTTTCCAGCCAATGTGTGCCCAGACCATGAGAATGATTACAAACTGCCTGAATCAGTTAGCATCCATTGTAGTCAAATGTCATTCATACAAACAATAAACATTTAAGAGACAGAGAAAGCTGAACGCAGACTAAATGTTTTATAAAAAATAATTGGTGAATTTTTGTGTGACTGTTGTTAGAGCATATACTTTAAAATATATAGTATATAAATAAAATATTGAACATGTAATTAGAAAAGTAAATCTATTTTGTTAAATTATATGTTTTCCTAAATCTATTAATAATGGTTTTTATTTGTTTGTTTGTTTGTTCTGTTTTGAGTTATTGTGTGGATGGCTTGGGCCGAGAATAAGCCAACGAGAGGGGTTTATACAGGAAGCAGTGCCAGTCTCTGATTAGCAGGTTGGGATATGACACATTTTGGGCCAGCTGCAGACACAGCCCCATGATTCAACTTATCTCACTGGCTTTCTACTTTTCTGATCATATCTAGTAAAAGGCTTCCCTGCAAGCATGTATTGGGTGTACAGCTGCTTTAACCCAGCAATGTTTGCCTGGCCTAATTCTAAAATGCTTTAAAATTTTAGAAGGAATTTTATTTGTCCTTATATATGAAGAGTGGGAGCTGGAAGGGTGCATATTGCTCTTGTGGCATGAAAGTGAGGCATAAAAACAGTTAATAAATAGCCCAAGATTCCACTTTGAGTCAGACATAGCTCGTAGCACCTGATTTTCAGCATTTATATGAAATATGTGCCACTGTATTTATTGTTATGGTGCTGCTATTTTTCCATTAAAAAGTATAAAATTACAGGTACTTACCAGCTTTTGATTATATACATATTTTATCTAATGTCAAGAACAAATGATTTAACATAAATATTGATTTGTTTCTGCTGTTTTCTTGATCTTATGCCAGACCCTTGATCAATGCTAATTTGATCTTTAGTCTAACATGGATTTATTTTGGTTCCTGTGAAAAGTTACCATTCTGGAAGAACTAAAATTATGATGTAAGGGCAGTACAGCCAGATCTCTGTAAGGAGAGCAACACTGGTGATTCTCTAACCAGGACTCTATTATTATTTTTTGTCTCAATTGATTCCTTGGAAAAGGAATAAAAATAAGTTCAGAAATTCTTATAATGAAAAACAAATTGTAAAAATTCTCATCGTTGACAAGTACAAATAATGAATGTTTCAAAGCAATTAAGATTTTGGCATGTATTTTATTGTTGTTGTTTTTGATTTTGGGGGGCATGTGTTTACCACCAAAGTCCAATCTCCTTCAGTCACCATATATTTGATCCCCTTTACCCTTATCTACTTCCTTCCCCTCCCTGCTTTCCCTCTGGTGCCACTACACTGTTGTCTGTGTCAGAGTTTTTGTTTGTCTTGTTTGTTGCTTTCAGTTTTATATCCCACATATGAGTGAAATCATATGGTTCTCGACTTTTTCCGTCTGACTTATTCCGCCTAGTATGATAATCTCAAGATCCATCCATGTTGTTGCAAATGGCAGTATTTCATATTATGGTTGAGTAGTGTTCAACTGTATATATGTGCCACATCTTTATCCAATCATCTATCGAAGGACACTTCATGAACATTGGGGTGCATATATCTTTATGGATAAATGTTTTCAAATTTTGGGGGTAGATACCTTGAAGAGGGATTACTGGGTCATTGTAATTCTAAATTTTTGGAGGAAATTCCATACTGTTTTCCATAGTGACTGTACCAATTTGCATTCCAATCAGCAGTGCATGAGGGTTCCTTTTCCCCCTCAATCTCTCCAACACTTCTTATTACTTGTCCTGTTGATGATAGCCATTTTACAGATGTGAGGTGGTATCTCATTATGGTTTGATTTGCATTTCCCTAATAGCTAGTGGAGTTGAGCATCTTTTCATGTGTCTGTTGGCTATGTGTCTTCTTGGAAGAAGTGTCTGTTTAGGTCCTCTGCTCATTTTTTAATTGGTTTGTTTGTTTTTTTCTGTTAAGTTGTATGAATTCTTTATATATTTTGGATATTAGCCCATTATCGGAGGCATTGTTTACAAATTTCTTCTATTCAGTTGGTTGCATCTTTGTTTTGTTAATGGTTTCTTTTGCTGTGCAGAAGCTTTTTAGTTTGGTATAGTCCCATTCTATAGGGACTTGCCTTTGAGGATCAAATTCATAAAATACTCTCTAAGATGAGGGTCCATAGGTTTAGTATCTATGTTTTCTCCTGTGCAATTTATTGTTTCAAGTCTTATATTTAGGTATTTGACCCATTTTGCATTAATTTTGGTGTATGGTGACAAATGGTCCAGTTTCATTTTTGCATGTAGCTTTCCAATTTTTCCAGCACCATTTATTGAAGGTGGTCTTTTCTCCAGTGTGCGTTTTTGGTTCCTTTGTCAAATTATTTGCTCATGTTCATCTTAGTTTATTTCTAGGCTCTCAGTTCTGTTCCATTAGTCTGTGTGTCTGTTTTTCTGCCAATGCCATGCTATTTTGATTATTGTAACTTTGTAGTATAATTTGAAGTCAGGGAGTTTGAGACCTCCAGTCTTGTTTCGTTTTATTTTTCCTCTCAGGATTGCTTTGTATATTTGTTGTCTTTTCTAATTCCATACAAATCTGATGATTGTTTGTTCTATTTCTTTAAAAAATGGGATTGGGATTTTGGTGTAAATTGCATTAAATCTGTATATTTCTTTGGGTAATATTGGTCTGTATGTTTGACATATAAAAAAATCTCTGACCCCTAGGTTTAAAAAAGTTTGAGGGCAGGAAAGAGATTATGTCAGCTAGAGGAGTGAGAGAAGTCCTGTGGATCGATGGCTTTCCCTGGAAAAGATTGTAAAGCCCTTACCTTGTGATACTCCTAGTCTAATGGAGAGGACAGATTAAAAAAATAAACAAATAAAGATAACAGGAAGTGATAGTGCCACAAAGGATAATCAGGGTGTATGAGTTTCATAGGGCTGCTGTTGCAAAGTACCACAAGCCAGTGGCTTAAGACAGTGTATGTTTATTCTTACACAGTTCTAGAGGACAGAAGCTTGAGGTCAAGGCATCAGCAGGTTTATGCTCCCCCTGAGATTGAATAGGATCCTTCTTTGCTGCTTCCTAGCTTTCTGCCGGTGGCTAGCAATACCTGGCATTCCTTGGCTTGTAGCTGGATCACTCCAATCTCTGCCTCTGATGTCACTTGGCTGTGTTCTCTCTGTGTATCTCTGTCTCCACATGACATTTCCTCTTTGTCTTTTTATAAGGACTCCAGCATATTGGATTAGAGATCACCCTGATGATTGCATCTTAACTTGAAAATCTACAAAGATCCTATTTCTATATAAGGTCACATTCACCAGTACCAGGGATTAGGGCTCCACTGCCTCTTCTTTAGGAACACAATTCACCCCGTAACACAGAGTAAGAGTATAGAGTGGGATTCAGAGGGGAGTGAGAGTGTGGTTGACAGGAGCGTCAGAGGCCTGCCTGGAGAGAGGAAGCAAATGCGTCAGGTGTCTGACAGGCAAGGGCATGAGAAGCAGAACAGCTTTCAGGTGTCCTGGTGACCAGT